CTTATCGCTCTGGATGAGACTATGGCTTAAATAAAGAGTTCTACTATATGTACCTTTAAATTCTATTCCCTCACTTTTACTCCATGATATGACAAATAAGGATTTGATATTTTCATTATATGGGTCCCAGAAAATGTGTTTACATCAAGAATTTATGAGAGGGAGTAGAAGTTGAGAGTAAAAAATGAGAGTACATGTAGTATTTTTCTTAAATAAATTAGTTTTTAAAAATTAATTAGTCTTGTCCTGCGGACTCAACTTAATTGGTCTTGTCTTGCGGGACGAGACCTATACTCGACTTAATTAGTCTTGTCTTGCAGGATGAGGATGAGACAGAGACTCGACTGAATTAGCCTTGTTGAACAGGATGAGACCGAGACTCAACTAAATTAGTCTTGTCTTGCGGGACGAAACCGAAACCCAGACTCGATTGAATTAGTCTTGTCTTGTGTAATTATTCTTATCTTGAGGGATGAGACGGAGACTCGACTGAATTAGTCTTGTCCTGCGGGATAAGACCGAGACTCGATTAAATAAGTCTTGTCATATGGGATGAGAGTATGAGACCGAAACTCAACTGAATTAATCCTGTCCTATGAGATGAGATCGAGACTCGACTGAATTATTCAAGTTCAGCATATGAGACCCATATTCAACTGAATTAGTCTTGTCCCAACTAATTGATGAGACCCAGACTCAATTGATTTAGTCTTGTCTCACGGGATTAGACTTGGTTGAATTAGTTTTATCCCACCAAAACTCAAATGAGCTGAAGATACTACTACAGGATACATTTAAAAAATAAATAAATAAATAAACTTACATCATAGCCATCTGGGCTGTCAAGGCAACAAAAAAGACCACAACAGCCTTTAAGGGCATCAACAATGCTTCTGTAATTCAACACATCTACACTATATATCACCACTCTCTCTTTCTCTGTCCTCTCCAACTCCTTTATCTTCTTCATTATCTCTTTCTCTCCTACAAATTCACAACACACATTATATTATTTACCCCCAGACAGACTACCTTAATTAAAACAACCAAAACCATATATGATTTGGTTACATGGCATAATTAACCTTAAACATAACCATAAAAATTAAAGGTGACATTATTACATTACATTACCATTCTTCTGGACAGCTGCATGAACTTTGTAGCCTGTAAGCAGCAGTTTCTTGAGAATCCAGTAGCCCACAAAGGTGGATGCATCAAGAACACAAACTGTTTGATTCTTTTCCTCACTGTCATCTTCACCTGCAAAAACAGATTCTTCTTCTTCATATTTTCCCCCCATTTTAATTTTCTGGAAACTCAATTTGGGAAAAACTATTTAATTTACCCGTGAAGAAAATATATGGTGTTATGGTGTGTGTGTGTGTGTGTATATATATATATATATAGAGAGAGAGAGAGAGAGAGAGAGAGATGGAGTGTATGAGAGGGGAATTTAAGGGAAGCGAGAGTTGGTGAACAATACAAGTTCACGTTCTCATCTACTTCATTGCCTTTGTGTTTTCCCTTCTTTTTGGCATTTATTCTTTTTTATTTTTATTTAAAAAAAAATTTGATGGCCTAAATTTCATGATTTGACCAAACTATATTTGAATCTTATAAACTCAATTATCTCTAATTTTGAAATTCAACACCAAATTATAAACTTCTTCACAATTTTAAAAATTCTTTTGTCTCATCAACTTTTTACAACTAATTTTTCGAACATTAGGGTGCAAATAAATTGAGCCCAACTCGAACCTAGACAAGATTAGGTTTAAACTCAATTGAATTTAAAAATTTAGGCTCGAGCTCAATTGAGCTTGAGCACAAATAGTGTGTGTGTATATGTGTTATATATATATATATATATATAAAGAGAGAGATCATAAGCAGCTTGACATAAAAGAGCCACAAAACTTTTAAGCTCAAGTCTAGTTCAATTACTTAACAAGCCGGCTCAAGCTCTTCTCAAGTTCAAATTTGGCTAAATTCAAATAAAGCTTTAACTAAACGACTTGCAAGCGACTCAACTTGTTTTTACCCCTATAAGTTGTGCTTGCAGGGTTTTACGGAACTTACCTATTATTTAAATTTGATGGGTTATTATTATTATTTTTTAAATATAACTAAATAAACTCACATAAAAATATTTTTTTACTCGATATAAAATAATATATAGTTGTTTTGTGTAATTTGATATGTCAAATATATATTAAAAAAAATTTATAAATCTAACACTAGTTTAAAATATTAATCTGTACATATACTCAGTATAATATACATAAGTCAACATTATTTTATAGGTTTGAAAGTAGAACACATGAAAATTAAGTATACATTAGAACCAGTTTGTTGCGATAGAAACGTTTGGACCATGCAAATAATTGATGGAATACAGTTTGTTGCGATAGAAAGGTTTGGACCATGCAAATAATTGACGGAATAACAATCATAATCAAGTTAATTCAACCACATAATAATTATAAAGTTATAAGTTTTTTTTTTTTTTTTATAAGTTGTCTTTAAACATTATTGTTTGTTCCGATCAGTTAAAATAACTTATGTTGGTTTACTTTTCTGTGATGACTAAATCACAAGGTGAATTTTATCCAAAATAAACAGATTGAAGATTTTTTTCTTCTCAAAAAGGTTAATCCCAAACCTCAAAGTTCCCTCACACTCCGACCCGACTGAACAGTTGGGAGGATGTAAATCATAGTGACTCAAGACTCAGAGGATGTAAATCATAGTGATTCAATGGCTCAGATGAAGTAAATCATAGTGACTCAATGACTCAACAGACAAGGTCAAATGTTGATGCGCATATAATTCACATATTTTCATTGTCGAGGTTAAATCTTGGTCTATTCTTTGAAATACTGCTTACTAAATCATTGAGCTAAACCCGTGCGGGTGAAAATATTTTTTGAAATCAAAGATTGATGGAGGGAGGTTGCCAAACCTTGTGAACAATTGTCAAGGTTGTGACAGATTCACACGTTGTCAAATGCGACATTTGTCCTACAAGCTTGGATAAGAAATAATGGCCACACTTGTTAACACGTAATACTATATTTATTATCTTTTTTTTTTTGGTATAGGCACGTGTCATCCGGTATTTTTAGCACATACTTTTGGTATAGGCACTTGTCATGGCCAATTCAACATTTTACTGCAAATGAAAGAAATCATTTTGAAATATTTTATTAAGTTTTCATAAATTTATGCAATAAATTAAGACACGTAATGAAAAATTAAAACGCTACCATACTTCTATCATTTTCCATTGCTAGGCAACATAATGTAGGTGGGCAATTTGTAAGAGGCAAATTATTGTGTAGACCATGGCCACACAGTGCGATATGAATCATAATAAAAAATACATTTTAATATATTAAAAATATATTATTTGTGTACTGAATGTAAATTATATAAAATAATAGGCACAAGTGTCAAATAAGCCTATCTACTACTGTGAAATGCTCCATTCCTACCACGAACTAAATTAAGTGTCAAATAGGTCAATCTATCAGCTACATTTGTTCAACTAGCTTTTTTTACAGGTTACCTATTTATTAATTATTTAAAAAAAATAAATTAATTAAAATAATTAATTTTTTTTTTTAAAAAAAAAGATAATATCAGCCACTGGCTGTCCGGCTGCCCATCGCAGACAGCCGTGGCACGACTGTCTGTGATGGGCAGCCACCGGCTGTTCGGCGACTGATATTATTTTTTTTTAATTATTTTATTTTATTTATTTTTTTAATAATTAAGAAATAGGTAACCGGTTGGTAACTTGTAAAAAAAGCTAATTGAACAAATTTAGCTGGTAGATGGGCCTATTTGACACTTAATTTAGTTTGTGGTGGGAATTGAACACTTCGCAGTAGTAGATGGACCTATTTGACACTTGTGCCAAAATAATATGTTTTTAATACTTAAATAATATATTTTTCTTAAATATAATGTACATTTTTAATATATTAAAAATATATTATTTGTATACTAAATATACATTATTTGATAATATGATTCACACAGCTATATAAATCATGATCCATACAATAATGATGGTTTGGGAATTGGGAGACCGTTGAAAGTTGAAACTATCCAGTTTTAGAAGGCATCACCACGTGGCTCTTATTCACAGCTAATTGAACATTCTGGATTTCTAGTTCTGCAAGTTTTCTTCGGTTTATTTATTTATTTTGGTTTTAGCTATTTGTTATGGAGTACACATTGAATTCAATAATACTATAAATTCTACACCAAAAAATTAAATAAATAAAATATTTAAGAGGCATTATTCACACTCGTATAATGTATGAAACAGACTCAAATTTGAGAATAAAGAATAAAATTCCAATTCGATTACACAAGTGTAGGCTTCCATTTCCTAATTTACCAAACATTTTTCTACAATCAACTAATGCTATCAAGTAATAAAATTCATTAACTCAATCAGCTAAAAACTATTTACCAAACACTCTTATACTCTTAATTTTTCCTTCTTTAGTTTTTCATTTCTCCGAACAAATAAAAAATTTCTCTGATTAATAAATACACCAAAAATTTCCCTTTGCAAGTATTTAATAGGCATAGGATAACATATAGGGAGTAATAAAATATAGATAATAATAATATAATAAGAATAAGAATATAAAGGGGAGATAACCTTGAAGTAGAAAGGGTAAAGAAGGGGTTAATGGCTTAATGCTAATCTGTTGAGAAATTACCATTTAAGAGGAAGTTGTGGACAAAAAAGGACAAGGGGTTGAAGATTCATGAAAAGTTGGAAGGAATAATAAGCCAGCAAGGAAAGTTCTGTAATAGGTGAAATCGTAAAAACACCAGCTTCATTTTCTCTTCTTTTATTTTTCCAGTGACTGCATTTGATAAACTTCAGTTATGTGTAATAATCCACAAACTATACAGAAGAGGTAAATCGTACAAAAAAAAAAAAAACTAAGTCGACAAGCTCAAACAAAAAGATGTTGACAAAAATCGAACTTGTGACCTTGTAGTCTGTATTTCCTCTTCCACTAGTACCACTTTGTCAAGATACTTTCTTGAGGAAATGATCATTGAATTTGACAATGATGATCATTATTGAATATTCACATGAATGTTATAATGATAAAAATCAATCAGGGACATACCTAACACCTTACAACAAAAGCCAGTGCAAGATACAAACAGACAGAGAACAAGAAGCAGCGTCAAAGTACATGTTTCATTCCAATGTAGGACCTGTGAATGAAAAGCAAACATGTTCATGTTTTTTGTATCAATTCCTCCACCAATATTCACAATCAAAGATACAAAAGATAGAAACAATGCACTATATCATATTTGATAACCTCGAGCAGAAATCTTTAGCCTACTAAGAATGGTATCAATCACATTTTATTTCAAATAGAGGGAAGGGATCGAGGAGATTGCAAATAAGATTGAAGCTCTTGGCAGAGTGTACATAATACGTCATAGAAAATAAAGACACAATATGTAACCAAAAAGTGAAAAGTTGACGAGGAAACTATACCAAAACTAAATATTAAAGTGTACAAGGAACTTCAATGCTTTCAAGAAAACTTATTACGAGACAAAAGAATGGGATTGTGAATTTACTTGTATTGTGGCCTTCACATCCTCCAACCTTTGCTTGCAATTAAGGATATGATGCAGTAGTATACTATTAGCCTCACTAAACTCTTGAACCTGGGGATAAACCGCCTTTCTATTGAATGGTACAAAAAAATGACTACATAAATAACAGTAATGTCCCTACTTAATGATCCAACTTGTTGAACCATCTTTGGCCAGAAGAGCACTCAAGTCTTGAACAAGTCTGATGAAACCTGTGTGAAGAAAACCTTATAAAAGAGTTGCACATATAGTAATAACTGCAAATCTGCAATACATGTTCAGAAGTTGAGCAAAATCTTTGTCTATTCATGTGAAATTGTCATTAAAAAAAAATATGTGGATCAGATATTTGAGACCAGGACATTAGTATTGCAAGGGGTACAAGTCTACAACTATGACTGTTGACCATTTCAATCAGAAGTTGGGGTGTGGACAATTTTCAATATTTTCTTGAAAAACTTGAAATTTCATGCTGGAAAAAAAAACCATGGCATGATAAAATCAGCATAATGTAGTCCATAGCTAACTGATATTGAAGTGTCATTCCGATGAAATTAATTGGGCAGAGCCAAACCTTCAATATATCTACAGGTTCAAAGTCTTAGCAACGTAAATACGACAAGGTAGAAAATAATACCTTGACATGGTGAGGCAATATTTTTATATCATAAGGCACATGAAGCCAAGCCTCAGGTAGATAGAACAAAAAGTTCTCTGGTTTACTGGTGTACACATCAGCATATTGATGGATGTGGTAAGCAAAGTCAGATTCTTGACCAGAATCAGTAAGGAATGTAGCTCCAAATGACCTATTAAACATTTCCTTCATCGCGTAACGTGCCTTCTGCCTCTCATCATTGAGCTCCCAAAGAAGGGATTTGTATGTTTCACTAATCTGACAGTTGACAACTTTAGCATGCAGCTTTCCAAGAAGTTCTTGGATTATATGAAACTTGGCCTGAAACAAAAGCAGGAGAGGGAAAACGAAACAACACTCCATTAATAATATTTAAGAATGAAATTTTTAATTTAGATAAATGTTCCTAATAGGTAGCAGTGTATAATCTGCCTGATGATGAGCCAGTTAATACCACATCCTTTGTAAAAACTAATGTTCATTATGTTGTTAATGTGGAAAGAAGTTGGAACACGTGGTATGAGAATATATCAACTACCAAAAGAGAGAGAGAGAGAGAGAAGTAAAATAACGGCAAAAGCCTTGTGAGTTTAGAACAATTAAAACAAATAAGGGATTCAACATCCAACATAGGAACTTCTAGCTGAAATTGAAAATGAAAGCAGAAAACATGCTTAGAAAGTTAAGAAGAAACCAGGTACCAAGTGCAATTTATTAAATGAAAGTTAACCAATTTAAGGCCCTGTTTGAAGCTCAAATGCTGTTTGTGGGGTTTTGGAGCTTCAGAAGCCCTGACTGCCATGGTTTTTGCTCCAGTAGATAAAGACATTATACCAAGTGCAATTCATAATGCCCCTATGGTACAAAAAGGATGCATCTAGAGTCTACAGAATAGTGTTTAACACATGTTTGTGTTGTTGCAAATAAAGCATCAAAAACTTGCAAGTGGGCTACCTGTTCGAACCTGTAACTATCATCGTTCTGAATACTGATCTCATTCTGAAACAAACAAACAAACAAACAAACAAAAGACAAGATATGAGGACTGAGGAGAAAATTATTGTTAAACCAAATAATTGGATGAACAAAAATTAATTTGGATCAACAAGAAGATGACAATAATCAATCAGAAGAAGCTGCTGTTTTCACATGAAGGTTCAGACTCTGCTTTCATTACATACTCTGGTTGTCAATACAAAGGAGTAGAATCTGGGATTTAGGAAATAACAAGAGGAAAAGAAAAAAAAACAAACAAACAAACAAAAAAAAAAAAAGAGAGATACAACCCAATTTCCACTCAGAAGTTAGGAGAAAGAAAGGGTTTCTCCAAAAAGTAAAAAAAATCAATTTCCACTCAGAAGTTAGGATATCGAGATAATTGAGGTAGGAACTTACATCCACATCGAAAGGCCATTAATTTCCAAAGCCAAGTATAAAGTACAGATAGGAGATTAGATTTCAAGCCTAAAATTTAACTGAAAGGGAAGAGATACAGCCCAACTCCTAGAAGCAAACTTAACACAATGGTAACTCACATAATAAACTTCACACCCATAACTTATCAAACCTCACTAAATGTACTTTTAAATTCTATTATTACTTAATATGTTCAAAGAAACTATAAGTTCTTCTTTCTCTTTTAGAGCTCTATGTCCAAAAACTCAATCCAAGAATATGGAAAATCATTTTTTGCAGGCACATCCTATTTATTATGAGATAAAGATGTTAATAATGTTATCATGAAAGTAGCAATTTCAGAAGTCCTCAAATTAATGAGGATAATAAAGAAAAAATGGATTACTTCCAGTTCATGGATGATAGCTGCAGTATGCCATCCAGCTTTTGAAGGCCCTCTCAGATCACTGAACAGGTGATCGCCAAAATATATAACCTAAAATTGTATGGGTAACAAATAGAAAAATGAGGATATTATATCATTGGAGACACCCTAGCAGATAAAATCCTATAAAGGTGTACAGAGTAGTGCATAACACAGAAAATACCTCTGGGCCTTTCCACTTTGTGATTTGCAAGAATGTTTTGAGGCATCCATGGTAATAAACTTTGTCAGGAAGAAAAGAATCAACTTTTGAGAATTGTAAGGTGTCCTTCTCAACATCATAACATCTATGGTAAAACCCCAAAAGAGAACAAGGGCATATATAACTCATACAGCCAACAGAAATGCATAACAAACACAAATCTGTAATTTAATTCTTGCATCACAGCATCACACTTTTGTAAACAATTATCATCATTTTTTATTTTTATTTAAAAAAAAAAAAAGTAATAGAGCAACAAACCGAAATGGATGTTCAGATGTGTAAAAATCTGGCTTTTTTGCTTTAGCAATCACAACATCAAAAAGTTCCCTCCAGGAGTCTTGCTGAGCTAAAGAATCCTAATAAGACGTGAAAAACAAAATTAATTTCAGCAATTTTATAGGTTTAACTGAAAGGAAATGTAGAAAGAAAAACATGACAAGAATAGGATAGGAGGAACATTTATGGTGATTCAAGATCACTGCTCTCATATACTGAAGAGACAAAATACTCAAATAACATAATTGGATATAGTTTATGTGTTGTATAGCTGTGACCATTAGATTTTTTACATTATTAATCTTTTGAAATCTAATTTTTAACCATAGTTACATTTTAGCTAAGCAAAGAAAAAAGCAGAAAAAGAACTCTGAGAATGAAAATACAGATACAATTTCATAAATTCATACTCTCTCTCAGTCAATCACATGTTTTACTTAACTAATGGCACAAACTGCAAGCACGTTCTTATAAACTGCTAATTCAGAAAACATGAAATGAGTATTACTTCGAGCATAAAACGCATTCCTCCGTCCACAAAAAAGAAGGGAGAGTTGGTTAACATGAAGAGTTTCTTCCCTTTGTCCTTTAGCTTCCTTAGAAAGCTTAGTAGCTGCCCCTGGAACACAGCATACAATATATGAAAAAGAAAGAGAGTCAAGAGACCCACAACACAAAAGACTGCAAGCAGCAATACATCTGCCTGACAAACTATGTAATTCACTTACATTCTTTACAAGATACTTCTGAGGATCAGAAAGAATTCCTTTATGAACCGAGTGACTTTTGTGAACATATTGTATAGCTCGATTAACATCTTCGTAAATATAACCAGCATCAAATTCCAATTTAGCATCAACAAAATGTTGCACAACATCAGCAATAAGGCATGCCTGCAGAGAAAAAGGTGAAATATGGGCACTTTTGAGAATAAGAAAATTCCTGAAAATGCATCACAATTTACCATTATATATGTGTGTGTAAAATCTATCATTCCAAGTGCCAACCTAATGCTAGTTCAATTAATCAAGCTACATTGGTTGGACCCTAACTCAGGCTTCAACCTAATTAATAAAATGTTGATGCCCCATCCTTATTAATACAAACCAATAAATATTTAAAGAAAAAAAAGAAAACACAGGTCCTACATGCAACACCTAATGTAAGTAATAGTTTAGAATTACTAAGAAACTAACCTCACTGAAACAGAAGAAATCCATCAAGCACACAAGTTTCCCTGCTTGATCACGGCCAATATGTCTGCTACCATATATCTCATCAATTTCTTCATGACTAAGCTGTAAAATAATATTAATTAAAAAAACTCTAAAGGAATATACAATGAAAACCAACTTATTTGACTTGACTTGTCACTTGAGTTTGAAGTTCACTTCTATTTTCTATTGAGTTAAATTGGCTGACAGAGAATGAGGCAATAATATCACTAAACTGACTAAAGCATTCACAGGAAATCAACCCAGCCAGATTTGTTATAAAATTCTTGAAAAATGACCACAAGGCATACATACAGATAAGATGGAGACTTCGTTTAGTTGTGTTGAGCACATGGAAGTGAAATAAGAGTTCACATACATTAAACTGCAGTGGTTTCTGACAACAATGATAAGAAACATAAACTAGCAACGTAATGGAGCTATGCAAATATTTCATTGTAGACTCAGAATCATTCTGACTATAGAGAAGAAATTCATGACTAACAACATAGCATAACATGGAAAAGGTTAGAATTGCATGCAGTATTTCTTGGCCAATATACAAGCAGTAATCACAAATTGTGTGTGTATACTATATACACACAAACACTTCTTGCTAATTTGACAAAGTTTCTAGATGAACACATATTGACCCTAATGTGCATGGATGCAATTGACCACATTTCAACAGTAGGATCATCCAAGAAAGTAGCAACAGTAATCATTCATCGAAGCAAATACAAAACACAAACAATTTTGTTCAAAAACCTAAATAGCTGTACCTTGCGCCTACCAAAGTAGCAACTGCCAGGCTCAATTGATCCAAAGAAGTCCAACTTCATGAGATACCCTTTTACTTTGTCATAGTATAACCCTCTAATAGGAAATGAAGGGTCATACTTGAATTCCATGCAGCTTTCAGGATATTTAAACTGAAGGAACCAGAATTCACAGGAAAACAACTCACTATTCAGCATTCCCCTTTCACCTAAAAACCATAATAAGAACCATTGGGGACAATGGAGTAAAGAAACTTAGTCCATGTTGAAACTGACCTCATTAACAAGATGCTGCTTTGCTAGATCATATATCAAGGTCTGCAAATTAGAGGAGTAATGTGCCAATGTATAATCATAATCAAATCCATACACTTCAATATTATCTAGCCGCAGGTTCTTATTCACATATATTCCTATATTTGCATCAAAACCAGCACCACGTCAGTTCAATTCTCAACCACAAACAGTTAAAATACACATGAAGTAAAAAAAGAAAAAGCAAAAAACCTTTGGGATTCGCTTTGGGCATATCTTTTAAAGCATCTGGTATTTTCAGAAACCTCTCTTTAGCAGCATTGAATTGCTCCCGAATTTCAGAAATTTCACTCTCAAAAGTAGGATCACTCTCATTAGCTAACTGCTTTTGTTGGTCTTCTATTTTCAACAGCCTCTGCTTTGAATATGCAATCGTGCTATACTTCCATGAACCGCTCCCTAAAAAATTCCAAAACCAAGGCATACATTCAACACTATTCACTTCCTCCACACATATCAGAACTAATAATACTCCTTGTCAATGGCCATACCTTGCTGAAATCCAGCACAATACAGACTCGTCCTCTGCAACAAAGAATACTGTTCAGTGTTCTCAAGTGGTCACGTCATATACAGACATAAACTACTTCTTATTCAAATCAGTCGACGGAGTATATAGCGTATATGCAAAAACAGCCACACATTCTACGAGCGAATATATGCGTATAAACCACTCTACAGACAAATGAACGGAGAGAGAAATGAGAGGAACGTACGTGAAGAGATGAGCGGAGATGGCGCAGGCTGCGACCGGAGGCCATGGCGGTCGACGAGAGGTGGATCTGATTGCGATTGCGTCGCCGGAATATCCAGAAATCAGAAGAAAATGAGGCGTGAAGGAGCGGCGGCCATAAGTGAACGTTCAAACCTTCAGGACAGGTGGTCCGGTCAGTACGTCAGTATTAATTCTTATTTGTGGAAAATATATAATCATTTCCTAATTGATAAAGATAAATCGCAAAATGTATTCTTATCTCATATTAGAAACTTTTTCAAAAATCTCATATTAGAAACTTCAACGTATTAGAATCAAACTGGCATTCCATATTTGAATACTCTGTTCAGGACATCCCCATATTAGAATCAAGAATCAACTATGTACAAGAGTCTATAAAGCAGATATAAATGCAAGGTCCTTTGTTCTAACCTTTTGGGGTAACCAAATAGTCCATTTTGAAAAGCCTTAAGAAGGAAAATATTTTATTTCATCGCTTTTTGGAACTTGAAAAACTTGAAAAGTCACAATTTCATACCCACAGATAGTCAGATACCCTATGGAGTTTTGTAGTCATCATTACTCAATAGCTGTAAAGTTTTTATTCTCTCACAAGAATTACGATTTTTTTTTAATATGATAGAAAGAAAACCTACAAAATACACATAAGAAGGAACCACATTAAGGAATTCGTATAAATTTGACTAAAAAAATTTCATAAAAATTAAATTTATGACTTTTAAATGCGGAAATCAAGTTTTACCCACTCAGCTACCCCTTGCAGGGTTGCAAGACACAAAAGTTACAATTTTTTGGTGACGAAAGAAACACACCCCTACTATTTAAGGATATGTACTAGGTAAATCATATTCATATGTAATAACCCACAAACCATACAAGAAAAGTAAACTGCACTAGACTTTGTGACAATTTCAACTAAGAGAGTGTTGACAAAAATTAAACTCGTGACATTTAAAGTAGAAGAATCATGCTTCATCAACCGGACCCGGGCACAAAAGTTGCAATATTATGACTATGGGGGTATTGGAATCAAAATAACTATCATTTGTCATTTTTTTGGCCTAATAACCTCCCCATACAAGTGTCTTTGCTGCTGTTCAAATTAGGTGTCTATTCAGATTCTTGCAATATCTAACGCTCTACAAGACTACAACTCCATAAAAACCACGCAGATACAGCTTCAGTTTCCAGCTTCGCGACTGAAAAAAAAAAAAACACAAGCATCAAAAGTGAAACCATGCAAGAGACGCATAATGACAGAACGTTTTCAACATAGATGGCCTTGAATGAAAGAAATCAAAACTGAACAAATGTCACATTCGGGGTGTATATCAACAGGAAACGGGACAGTGCATCAGATGATATATCATTCTTGCAACAGGAAAGACATGAAATGAGAAGCATTGATGATTCTTTTTACCTTGGGTCAGAAAGGACTAGTCTATGAAGAATAGCTGCCATGAATCCAATACATTTGAAAAACTTATGCCTTAGTTGTGTTTGTTCGTCTTGATATAATCTCTGATGCCCAAGCTTTGCCCACATCTGTTTGAAACTTCCCTGCAGAAAGAAGCACGAGTTAAAACCTTTATCTCTCAGAAACATGGTGAGAAGGGAAAACAGAAGCAAGTACATTGAGAAGACATTCTACATAAATCAAATAAGCCTTAAATCGTACCTAGTTGGTATAAGTTTAAGGCATCCAAACAGGAAAATTACAATTTACAAAGCAGATTAACAACAGGATATGAAATTATGCAATTTATTTTTCTTTTAATTTTTTTTTCAAACTTTTTCCAGCTTATTCATTTCTTGTAAAAAGAAAAATTAAATAGTAAATTGAAGTTATGAATCATGAATCAACTTAAGCTGATTTTGGAGCAATGTATATGCAAAGTTAATGAAAGGTTAAATTTAAGGTGTCATCTCTTCTTTCATATTTGTGTTTCGAAAATACAAGGATATTTATTTGGTATTCCAGTTAGATTGTTTTAAACGACTCCATTAAACAGTTCTCTAGTTTCTACTTCCTTTTTCTCGCCTTTTCTTTCTTTCTGTTTTGTCTATGCAAACACATCAGTTTTAATGTCACCACATCGCCACTTCTCCCAACCAATATACCCATTTTGCATAATTCTGTCATCATCTCACAAATTCGCACATTCCTTAGTTTGATGGCTACCATCAAAGGTACGAACTTCTACTTTAGGAAAGCCTCCCTAGTGAGGAAAGCTTTTCCATCTTAGTTCTCGTACTATATCTTTGCATGATGCATCACAATTTATATAACATTAGTATTTCTCAAGCAACTTTTACATCAATTTTCAGCTGATTGAAGAGAACAAAGATTAATGTAATTGCTAATTACATAATTACTTGACAAGTTATTTATATCTTTAGAGCATAATAGATACACTGTAAGACAGGGGAAAGAACAAATAAGGTGGAAAGTCTAAACATAGTAACTGCATAATAAGATGCTTAGATAGTTAGATATGAACCTGCTGTTGACTGGAAAAACTCATCCAAATCCTTTCCCTGCTCTGCACAACCACAAAATGTGACATTAGTGTGAGTGTTGAGTGCTCACAGCTCTGTTCTCATATTAAAGAATTCAACAAATCACTACATAATCAAATACATCATGTTTCAAGTGTTATCTGGAGAAATATTTATTACTCCTATCAAATTCTTCTAATTAGAATTTTATTAGAGATAAAAAGAAAACATCCAGAGTATTGCTCTGGGCCATACAGTAGTTATAAATATAATGGCTCTCTTCCAAAGGTCTTACTGTAAACTTGCATTTCTATCTTAGACGAAGCAGGTGTTTTTTCCTACTTACCAGAGGGGGGAAAATCAAGCATTTTCTTTGTATGTCATAACTAATTTTGTTTACAAGAATTACTTTGATTTGTAATAATGAATGGAAAATGCATTAGTTAGTAAGTTAGTTAATTCATCACCACAGGAAGATGGAGTAGATTTTGCTAGAAAACCAAGAGATTGAGCAGATTCTGTTATTATCTCATGCTAGCATCGTGGACTTAGTTGAGTCTTAATTTCAATATCAATGCATCTTGGAATACCAAGAGACCCCTTCGTTATCCATCATGTCTTGCTATGCATAAGGTTTACATGAATGACAAGAAAAAATAAAGCTAAACTGGCAATTGAGTGCCAGATAAAAATCAAAGTGCCAAGTGCTGTTAAAGTAACAAAGAGATTTACAACAGGCCTATCAGAACTCAGAAGCATAAGTAAATTGGAACCTATACATGAAATGAATTCACTTGAACATGTTAAAGACCCCTAATACGGGACAAGCCAAGAAGAAGTACAAATTTCATCCCAGCATAGTATTCCATCAAAGGAAAGAAACATGTCCACTCTGGTGTGTGCTAGCATACACCTAGAAATTACTCTGTACAATAAATTTACATTACATGGAACTTGGAAGAAACAGAAAACATACCTTTTTCATATTCCAAAGCCTGAAGTATCATCTCAATCTGGAAGAAAACAGATGGCATGATCATTTTTTGATGTAGACCAAAAGTGCTCGGCACCACAACACAAGTTCATCGGCAATTCAACTTCAAATCATTTAGAAACGAATTCACCAAAACTAGGGCCCCTGGATTTTATCATTGATTTCAAACATATTGACCATTATTATGTTAACCAATATCTATCCTCCTAAGTCCTAGGAATTCGTTTTGGCTATGCTTGATTTCATACATATGTTGCTTCTTCATTGATGACGACACAGCTTTTGTCCAAATACCAGTTTTAAAGTTTCATTACAGTAAAAGAAAGCTTGACACAATGCATCAAAATTTATTTGTTTGAATCTTAGTACTAATGCTCTGGATACCTTGTCAAAATCTTTAACAACTTTAGCTTCTAATGAAGAACATTCTTCATATTCCAACCACAAATCCTTGATCTCCTTGGCTGCAATTGTCAACATCAAATCATCAGCTGGCAAACAAATTCATAACTCCTCAGTTAGCTTAAAACCTCAATATATGAAGGCAGGCAGTGAAAAGTGGTACCCCGGGGCCCTCCACCTAGTAGTTTGCACATGTCCTCTATTGCTTCTCTCTCCCGACGACTCTTTTCAGCTTTTGAAATCCCATCAGAAGGAGTAATATCTCCAACAATTGCTGTTTATCATACATGTGCTAATATTTGTGAGAAAGTAAAGTGAAACAAAGGGATAAGTAGAAGTAAAGCAAAATCACATTATAAATAACATCAAACAATACCCAAAAGGAGAAAAATCATACCACTCTTACATCTAATCTTTTAAATTGGTTTTAGAAATGAATTCCTACACAATGCATTTAGAAAATTTCTAAAACTACTTTTTTCTGATTGGTATTCAATTATCCAAGAACAATGATATTTTTGTCGCTAGGCAGGAGTCTAAGAAGAACTATTTTTTGTGTGCCAAATTTGGGGAGGTTTATGGCTATTGACTGCTTCCTTCTACTTGACTACATGATAACATTTTATATGCAAACATTTTTGAACATTCAATATGTTTCTGATAAGTACTCTGTAATATAATAAGTAAAACAACAGTATCTTATTGCATCCCTAGGCTCTGTTAAATAGCTGCACGGCTGTCTGCTGTGTGTAGCCATGACTCAATGACAGAGGAGCAAGGAAAATTTTCTACACGCATCGATTTACATACATCATTCTTTAAATGTTACTCCATAGTATATTAAAATAGACAAAATGGCTCGCAAGAAGCATTCTCACCTTCAGCAATATCATGCACTATTGCCATTTTTACACACCTGAATTTGAAGCTTACATTAAAATGGTCAATTTATAAAATATAGAGAGACTCAAAAGATCAAAAGAAATGATACACGGCTCACTTGTCACGATCCACACCAGGAATATCAGCTGAAATAAGAGCCATCACTCCCATTCGGTACATGTGATCAGCTATCGATTCAGGACCCTGCACATCCCTAAGTACCCAACCAGCCCTCTTCGTGGTCTAGTAAGAACACCACATCATTCAATTTAGCTCACTCCAGTTTATTTAAAGTAACAATGTTCATAAACCAAGAACTTGATCACATTGATTCATTTCTAAAGCATACAACACAAACATATCTAAGGAGAGACTGAAAATTCAAAATTCAGCAAACAAAAACTTAAACACGATCCATTAAATTTATGAATAAAAGCAAACCACATAGAAATGCTATTCAGTTCGGTGAAGTGCAGATACAACGAAAATTCAAAATAAATAAATATACACGATCATTAAATTTATGAATAAAAGTAAACCGCATAAAAACTGCGATTCACTATTCAGTTCGGTGAAGTGTAGATTCAACGAAAACTCAAATTTCAGCAAGCAAAAGTTTAAACGCGATCATTGAATTTATGAATAAGAAAGTAGACCACATAAAAACTGTGATTCAGTCAGTTCAACAGCTCAAGTGTAGTGTTACTTCGGTGTACAGTGTGCAGCAACAGTTGTACGTTGCCTTGGGATCGGAATCATCCTATCTAAAGTCCTACTGATGTCTATTAGTTCACCATATGCACACAAATGCATCCATATCACAGAACTTTTGTGTACGGTGTATACCTTGAGGCGGCGGCAAAGCGTGAGAAAATCGATGGCGGAGGAAGGAGAGGGAGAAGATGAGGAGGAGGCGGCGGCAGCTTCCGTCGACATTCTGGGAACTCTAGGCTGCGGCGACGGCGGAGGCGGAGAAGAAGGAGAGAAAGGTTTGAATCTGATGAGAGTAGAAGTAGCAGTGAGGGAGGAGGGTAGGAAACGAGCAGCTAAGGTTGATTTGCAGAGTAAATGGCTCATTTTTTTGGGTGCTTGGGCTCGAGAGTTAATTTTGGTTGGACTTGGCGACTTGGATAGTTGCATTACATGAGGAGCATTTGGGGTAGGAAAATAATGGGGCTAAAAAGTAAAAACGCTAGAAGGAGGGCTCGAACCTTCGACCTTGTGGTTAACAGCCACACGCTCTAACCAACTGAGCTATTCCAGCTTTTGATTATAAAAAGACAAGATAAATTTTTATTCAGACTCATTTGTTGACTATGTCAAGCAAAAAACGCTAGAAGGAGGGCTTGAACCTCCGACCTTGTGGTTAACAGCCACACGCTCTAACCAACTGAGCTATTCCAGCATTTGATTATAAAAAGCAAGTTTTAGATTTTATAACTTATTTGATGACTATGTCATATAATTGGTATCTGACCCTCTCGAATCTTGATAGGATATGGGGTTCGAGTGGTTTATAGGCAGTTTATGAAATATTTGGATATACACCCTAATTGAATAATAATATCGGTAGTTAGTAAAGACGACATCTCAAATCGAATTTAAGTTAGCTATTTATTTAAAGCGGTATTGGTGTGTCTTTGTGGACAAGTTCTTCCTGATTTTTTTATTGGTACTGGTTCGTAGCACATTTTTTTATGGTTAAAGTTATCCCTCTTGGAAATTACTATGGTATTTTTAGCGTGATTTCTGGATTGCTGAAATGTTTTGCACTTTTGCATATGCAATTGGTGACCTTTTGCCTGGTTTGATCTTGTGCACCCCCCAAACCCCAACTCTCTCTCTTCTTGGTTGTCTTTGTACTTATCGAGGATGATTGTGGTAAATGGTGTGATGAGTTAATGCTTACATATTCAAGTTGTTTGGTATTACTTGAAATTTCATATAAACCAAATACTTGAAATAGATTTTCAAAAATTCCAACTGCTGAAAAAACTAAACACATTCAAAACGAAATACAAGTTTAAAACTTTTAACAATATAAAATAAAATTAACAAACTTCGATTATCATTCCAAATAGGTGGTCATATGTTTGAACTCCGACAGAGGGAGTTTAGATTCTTTGTACTGAATATGTTTGAGAGAGTATATTATAAAACATATACTACTTTAATTTCTAAATAATCATGAGTATTTTAACAATGAAGTAATTAGCATTTGTTATATAAGTAATGATGGTCATATCATCAACAACAAGAAATTTTGGTTCAAAAGTCTTCACTTTAGGGCGTTTAGTTCACGAAATGTGAAATTACATTAGGTAATAGAGTCATGGTGTATTTACATACATTTATCTTTGATCTACATGAAACTCTTAACTAGGTAATAGACTACCAGAATGTATACTTTAAGTGACTCTAGATGGCAAAGAACTATAATGAGGTAAACTAATATAAATTGTCCATAATTGACTGGTTCAAACCTAGAAAGTCATTAAACAACTACCACATTGAGTCGAATTTGAAATATTGTAGTTACCAAGTTAAATGTTGGTATAACTTTTCTAAGCTAATAAGTAATAATGATATAAAAAAATACATGTATTGCGTGTTTGGTGGCCTGCGTGCCATTTATTAGTTTTTTGGGCATGTGTGCCTCCTTTTTGTTTGTTTGCCTTGTGATGAATGTTGGGAAGTTGTTGTTGTGTATTTCTGTCCTTGTGAGATAGCCCTGCAGTAGGTTATGCTGACGGATATCTTACAAAATGGGCTAGCATTCTTGGAGGTTTGTGGCCAGCCAATAGATTTAGTTTGACGAGACGTGGGCGTGAAGCGTTGCGGCCATGTTGGCACTGTTGCATCGTTGCATTGTGGCGCAGAGTTGCAGCATTGCAACTTTGTGATGGTGCGGTATGGTGGCGCACTAGTACATGGTAGCACACACGTGCAGCTATTCTCCTAGAAACAGCCGTTATGCTGCTGGTTTTTGCGAAAATTGGTGCGACGCCAATAGGGGGATTCTGCGCCTCCATTTCAGCACCCCTATTATTTATTTATTTTTCTTCATTTACTATTCCTTTGATCTGGCTTATTAGTTGGGCTTGGATCTATTATTTTATTCTTTCATTCTTTAGGCCTGGCCTGTTAGGGCTTGAGTCCATTCTTTATTTTAGTTTCTTTATATTAGTATAGGCCCAAACTCAAGGGCTGAGTATGTGTTATGGTCACTTTTGGATCATCAGTTGTAAGACATTTTTATTCCTTTGCTTAATAAAGTTTTGTTTAAAAAAAAAAAAAAATAATAACCATGCAAAAGAGGGTTGCAACTATAAATCATGATTATTTTGAAGGTAGTATATTATTTGAAATATACTTTTTTTTTTTTGAAATCTGAGGGTGTGCTCTACCTATCAATTTTTTTTTTTTTTTTTTTTGAAATACTCATGATTATTTTGAAGGTAATATATGTTCTATACTTTCTCAAATATTTTCAGCCCAAAGAATCTAAGCCCTCATCACCGGATTCGAACCTATAACCATTCATTTTGAATGATAACTGGGATGTCATCACAATACATGGTAGTTGGAACCTATATATCAACTTATTTAGTATTAATTACTTGAACTATATATTTCGATAATTACTATACCAATTTTTAGTTAGAACTAAACATTATATTTTTGTTCTTTAATTTGGTCATTACAATAATCTATATAATGACTAACTGGCATTTTAGTTCATGCAGTGAAGAAAGATACTACAATGGATTGATATGAGGACATATGATGATATTGAAACATAACTTTTCAATATATATATTTTTATGGACAAAGAGAAGGAACCAGACAACATTACAACACCACTACAGACCCGACCACAGATCAGACTCGAGAATAATAAGATAATTCAAACTATAAACACACATATATATAGGACATCATATGATAATATTATTAATACAACTATTTTATTTCTTTATTTATTTTATTCCAATCTAGTAGTGTGTTAATAACGTAACATGAAGTGGCAAGCCCAAGCTTTTAGTGCCTGCCGCTACCTCCACCGTAGCCACTTCCCTGGCCACCTCCGTAGCCGCCCGATCCGGATCTTGATCCGGCATACGACCCGGCAGAGGATCCGGCTTCGGATCCAGCCCCACCACCACCACCAGAGCTAGAACTCGAACTTGAACTCGAGCTCGAGCTTGAACTACTGGAGCCACCGCCTGAACCCGAACCTGCTCCTGCCCCTGACCCACTACCGCTACCACCTAATCCAATACCAATGCCCGCACCAATACCGATGCCAATACCACCCAGGTCCAACCCTAACCCCTCCGTCCTTACTTGGGCCGCCTTTTCGGCCTTGATGTCCCGACTCTGGGACACCACAAACACACTAGAAAATACAAGCAAAGCAACTAGAGCTGACGCCGCGAATTTAGCCATGCTAGGAAGCTCACCAAGAGTGGCAAATCCTAGGTTGTGTGACAAGGTTTCTTGTTTAGCTTCTATGGTGATAGTTGAGGGTTTTTGTGTATGGGTGGTGACAACATATGGGGAAATCTAGTGGTATTTATAGGTGAGAAATCATAGGCTTTTGGCATGTAAAATTAAAGATTTGCCCAAAGTAGAGAAGGTGGTGGTGGACGGCTGCTTTAATTAATATGGACATTAAACTAATAGTATAGTTTTTGGAAAATTATATTTTAAATAACTCTACGATATCTTTTCTTTCTAAAAACAACAAAAAGAGTAATAATCTGTTTGGTTCGCAAGAAATGTTACAAAATCCTTTCTATAATATATAATTTGTTAAAAATGTGAATTCTTATGTTTGGTCGGTGTCAGAGTTTTTTTTCATTGGAGTTTGAATTTATAGAATATATACTAGGAAAAAAAAAATCTTTCGATACCATAGGTATTTCAATTTTGTAGTTTTTTTTAAAAAATTTCTTTAAATTTCACTCCAACTAAATAATGAAATATAACTTGAGGTGTGGTTGAGTGGAAGAGACTCATTTATCCTTAACCAAATGTTAAGGGTTCAGTTCTTGGCTTTGGGTATGGAGCAGTCTTAAATCTACAAGTCGACTGGCACATCCAAAAGAGATGTCTATAATTCAGCGAGGCTTCGACGGTAAAATAACGAAATATGGAATCTTTCTTTATTTCTTTTTCATGAATTTCCATTTATTATATATTTATCTTAGTGAGCCAAATGGGATCTAGATATATTTTGGTCATATCATCAATTGATTTATTTTTTTTTAATAAAAAAATAGTATATGATAAAAATGACACATATTTCTTATTTTGACGAAAAAGACATTGTAGTATAATGTATAAATATTGTAAATGGCCTATTATATTTATATTTGTTTGGGTCAATTGAAATTTATTGAATAAACAACATTTACCCAAAAAAAAAAAAATCTGAAATTTATTGAAAAGAGATTTTTATTTGTTTCCAAAACTTTTTTTTTTTAATATTTAGTTCACTTTAAACTTAGGGTGTGTTTGGAAAGCAGGAAAATGACTTCTGAAAAATGAGTCATTTTCTAGAAGATATTTTTTTCCCGTGTTTGATTGCATTCCAAAAAACTGTCTTGGTGTGTTTGGTTTATTTTCTGAAAAATGAACATAATTATTGTTAATTTTAAATATTTAAAATATACAATGATGGTGGTGGTGGTGGTGGTGGTTGGGGGTGGTTGTGGCGGCGGTGAATGATTGGCTGCTCCACCGTTGCAAACAGAATTTTTCAGAAAATTCCCTATATTTTTCATTGACCACACCCCTATTTTCCATTGACTTCTATTTTTCCCCTCTAGACAAACACTGAAAATCCAGAAAATAATTTACAGAACTCATTTTCCGGTTTCCAAATGCACCCTTAGTAAATAAATTTCAATAGTTTATGGATTAAACAAACAAACATTAAGTTACTATCACTTAAGAGATGTAACAACGGGTTCAACCGATTAAACATTGCTTTTATGTAATAACTCGCAAATTACAAAAGAGGTAAACCGTACTAAGAAGACCTTATGCGACGAACTCCATCAAAAAAATATTAACAATAATTTGAACTGTGACATTTATGTACTATAGATAAACAAATTTTTTTATCAGTCAAAATAAAATAAACGTGGTTGGTATTATATATGTTTGGTGAGAAGAAGATTGGGACAAAGTTTGTGGTGGAGAAAGATAAGGGCCGCATGCAGTGGGAAAAAGGCTGTTGGAGTATCGGTCATGTGGAAGCCAAATGCTATGATGAAAATAGTGTGTCCACCCATCATTCCACTAACAAAGTGGATGGGCTATTTCGTGCATTCACATATACATCCAACCTAAACATAGCTTAAAATTTTTATTCATTTTTTAATAACTCAAATCGCGGAATTATATTCTGGACTACTTCATGAACTAAGTCTACGGGTCCATGAGAAAGTAAATGGCAAATTATATCATGCACCGCGCGTCAGACACTTTTCTAAACCGACACTGTCAAAACGACGTCGTTTTATTTAATGAAAAGAAACAGAATTTTCGCAAAAAATAACTCTGTTCTTTAGTTTTATTTTGTATACACTGCAGTTTCAGTTCAACACAACTACAGTTTCATTTCGATATAACTACAGTTTCATTCAATATTTATACACTCAAATATGTGAAAATGTTATTTAATTTTATTTTATATACACTATAATTTCATTAAAACACAACTACATGATCATTTCAATATAATTACAGCTCCATTGTACAATATACACTCAAATATGTGAAATGTTATTCACTTTAATTTTATATATACTGTAGTTTCATTTCACCACAACTACAGTATCATTTTGATATAACTGTAGTTTCATTTGATAATATAAAAATAATACGCGAGACAATGTCGGTTCAGACACACTGTACTGTCTAACGCGCGGTGCATGATATAACAACCGAAAGTAAATCGAGTCAATCTAACTTCAAGACTCAACTTCAACTCAAACAATACACTTATGCACACAAGGAGGCTAACGCTAATCCTAACTCAAATTAAATTCACACTCTCAATGTTCGTGGCATGAATCAAAATCCCACTAACTGAAAGCAAGTCTTAAGTGACACTTCAATTCACATTAGCCCCTGATTCATATTTTGTCATGGCACAAATAATTAACCTAAGTTTGAAATGTTCATACAATATAATGCATTATTGCATGATCGCAGATCAGAGTATTATTGTAGGTATCAGTTGAAACGAACTTGGGTACTAATTAGAGTTAAGCATGTGTAAAAGGAGCCGATCGAATAGAGTTGTAGATAGGTAGCTACACTGTTGCAAAAATCGTGCCGTCTAACCGCGGTAAGGAAGGCCGGAACCGGCCTCCTCCGTGGCCGGGCGGATAGGTGATGCTATCTAGCACAGCCGGCTGAATCGTTTTTTTTTTTGTTTTTTTTTTTTTTTTGGCAAGGCATAACTTTTGACTCGGTTATTCGTTTTAGACAATTTTTTTTTTGAAATCGCATATTTTTTCGAGATCTATCCAATACAAACAGTCGTAGGTAGTTTGTCCCTCCGATTTCTCAAAAAAAAATGCTTCTTTTGCTCTTAATTTTAATTGTTTATGTATTTAGATGGTTTCAACAATATTTTGAATAATTTTACAACCACTTACGCAAATAGTTTGTAAAAAAAAACTTGAGGAACCTTATGTTTTATTAGTGAATTTTTAAAAAAATCGGACGCCTAAGCGTTGAAAAATCAGCGTCTAACGTATTTTGCAACATATAGCTAGATAGGAGAGATTTTTTTTTTTTTTTTTTTTTTTGGCATGTTACGGAGCCCAAATGATTCAGTATTCTCCGTATTTCTCAATATATACCTAATAATGAACTATTAACATGAAGCTTAACATAATATCTAATTTGGCAATAACAATGTGAAATAATTAAGGCTTGAAGGGTGGTATTTGTCTTCATGCTACAATGGTGGACCAAATCAACTAATGACTTATGGTTGAAGATAAAATGGGAATAAGCAATGTTTTCCCCATAATAATATAATAATAGAACATTCAAAAAAAAAAAAATTACTTACTACTAAAAATAAAAATGAACAATGTCATTTTTGTAAATAAAATGATCGTTATTTAAAAATATCAATATCCCTTTCTATTTATTATAATAGGCATGATTCATTTTCAATATTATACAGTTTATTTATTGATTACTCTCTATAATTTAATTACCATATATATATATATATATATATATATATATATATATATATCTAATAAGAGACTATTTAATTAATCCATTGTAAAGGTTTTTTTTTTTTTTTTTTTTTTTTTTTTTTTTTTTTTTTTTTTTTGGTGTATCTAGGGTTTTGCCTATCGTCAAATACAATAACTAATCCCCTTACTGAATTGTAGACGCGCACTTCTATTGAGTAAGACAGCGGGCTTGGAGATTTAAGTTGTAAAATTTTCTAATTAATACAAAAAATAAACATGGCCAAACAATTAATTAACTATACATACATATATAGTGGGAAGTGTGAACATGCATCGTCTTTATTAGTTTGACATTAGTAATTAATTATTATCTTATTATATACATACATCAGCGTGTGTTTTGTCAAAATAATATGGAATGATGATTAAGAAGACACAAATGAAGGTGGAAAAACTATTGAAATACAATAATTAAGCTAAGGCTTTAGAAGCAAAGTGTGAATACAATTAAATATGCCGTTGGTATGTGCATAATAATGTATAAGTTGTAGTGCTCTAGGTATTATAGTCACATAATGCATAAAGTCAAAAAGGATTGTTTGATCATTGGCCTTGCATGGAATTCAAGATAAACATGAATTTAAGATTATTGGTAAAATAATATAAAAATAAGAAATTGGCATTATATTGACATGCTACGCCTACTCATCATATATATAATGTGATATTGATTTTGCTCCACTTTCTTTGACCCAAACGAATGATGATAGCCAATGGAATGTAAACGTGTAGTTTATAAGAGTTTGTTTCACTTCTTATCTCTTTATTATAACTTATAAGAGTTAATTCCATTTTTAGTCCTATTGTTATGGGGTCATTCTAATTGCAGTCCACCATTATCTTTGGTAGGGAGTATTCCGACCGACGTAGCTTCACCACGACCGAGGAGTCTTTGTCTCTTTCTCCTTGTCTTTGCAGGTAACAGGTCGGGCTCCTTGAGAAGAACCCGGTCGGGAACCGACCGGGAGTCGCCCGAGCGAGGCTGTCAACCCCGAGCGGTAGTCCTTCGGCGAGAGAGCTGACTAAAGACACGTGGCGGCTCTTTACGTCGACAGGCAGGGCACCCAGGAGGAAGGCACGTGGTGGCTACGTGGAAGACATGCCGAGCAGCGGGGATCTTGTCTCCGGCACAGCGGCTATAAATGCCCACAGTAG